CAGTTGACAAGCTCATACAGTTACTAGTGTTTCTGTATAAACTAAATATTTAACTCTGGTCTGTCAATGAGTCTTTTGCCACTAACTTCAAAATTTAAAATTAGTAAAATTACTTATGTGTTTTATTTGAATGAGCTCTTCTTCAGAAACAATATTTTATGACTTTGGGTACTGCTCTCCCAGTGGTTTCTGAACTTTGTCTACACAGAAGCTCCAAGTGCTTCCTGCTATTCCAGGTTAGTGAATCTCCCCTTTATCATACAGTGCAAATAAACACATAGAATGGTGTAGACATAGATAAATGTGAGACAGAGCAGCACGCTCTGATCTGACTTCAGTTTACTCATCCCTATCACAGGCGTTCATTATATTGGCTTACTGGCATTTTTGAAAATATACAAAGCTAAATTTTCTCATTAATTCCTCCTAAGTATTACTACCTAGTTTTTTATTTGGTTCTCATGAGAATTAGGGTCATATTAGTTGCACCTTTTGTACAGGAAAATGGTTGCATCTTGAGCATTTAATTTAGTCTAAATGTCCTTTTTAGGTTTAATTTTAACTGGTATAAAAAGAAAGCTAGACATGTTGATGTGGTAATGTGTGATTCAGTACATATATGCATTATACAATATTTAAATCAGTTTAAAACCCTACATTCTCTAACATTTATTATTTTATTGTGGTGAAAACTTTAAAAGTCTTTTCTCCTCACTTTAAAAATTAATATTATTGTTGCTCCTAAATATCCTAGTGAAATATTTATAAATGTTTTTGTTTGTCAGTAGTCATTTTGAGAAAATAATGGCAATATGAATAGTTTTGCCTGTGATTTAAATAAATAAATAAACAAAAAAGAAACAAAAATAAAATAAAAGGAAAGAAATGGCCCAAATCAGTGCAGTTAGAAATGAAAATTGAAATCACATCAGATTCTGCTGAAATCCAGAAGATCATTGGTTACTACTTTGAAAACTCATACTCTAATAACATGGAGAATTCAGAAGAAATGGGTAGATTGCTAATGCATGTGAACATCCAAACCTGAGCCAGGAGGTTATAAAAATCCTAAAACATTCATTGTCAGTCAATAAAATGAAGTTGTAATAAAAAACTACCAACTAAGAAAAGTACAAGCCCCCATGATTCACTGCTAAATTCTACAAGAACTTTTAGAGATCTAGTGCTAATACTACCCACTCTTTAATGAACTTGAAGGGGAAGCAGTCCTCCTAAAGACATTCCTCAAATCTAGCATTACCCTGATTCTAAAACTAGGAAATTGCATAACCAAATAAGAGAACTGCAGGCCATTTTGTTCAATGAGCACAGTTCAACAATCCTCAAAAAGACACTTGCACACTAAATGCAGCAAATTGTTAAAAAGTCATATATCATGACTAAAATTCATTCCAGGGATGTGGGGATAATTGACTGTATGAAAATCAATAAAGGTGATACACCACATAAACAGAAGCAAGAACAAAAATCACTTGATCATTTCAATAGATGCAGAAAAGCCTTTGACAAAATCCAATATTCATGATCAAAACACTGAAGAAAATATACATAGAAGGATGTTATCTCAAGCTGATAAGAGCCATTCATGACCAACTTACTGCCAATGCCATATTAAATGGAGAGAAACTGAAAGCTTTACCTCTAGCATCAGGAACAAGACATGGATGTTGGCTCCTCTTCAGTATAGTTCTCAAACCATCAGCCAGAGCAGTCAGGCAAGAGAAAGAAATAAACGTGATACGTATAGGAAAGGAAGAAATTAAGTTGTCCTTATTTATGACACAATCTTCTATGTAGAAGACCCAAAAAATTCCACCAAAAGATTCCTAGAATTAATGGCCAAATTCAGCACATAACAGGATACAAAGTCACCATGCAAAAATCAATAGTATTCCTTTGCAGTAATAATAAGTACAGTGAGAAAAAATTAGGGAAACAATACCTTTCACAATAGCACCAAGAAAAAGGAAATACTTGGGGATTAACCTAAGTAAGGAAATGAAGGATTTCTACAGTGAAAATTACAGTTCTCTGAGAAAGGAAATAAAAGAGGATATCAGAATATGGAAATATATCCCTTGTTCCTGGTTAAAATGACCCAATATAATCAAAATGGCCATACTTTTGAAACTGATATACAGAGTTAACATTCTCAGTCAAGATACCAATAGCATTCCTCACAGAGCTAGAGAAAGTAATTGTAAAATTCAAATGGAACCAGAAGAGATGAAGAATAGGAAAAGAAACTCTGGGCAACAAAGGCAAGGCAGGGGCATCATGATCCCCAATTTGAAGTTACAGTACAAAGGTACAGTGATTAAAAACAGCCTGGTATTGAAAAAACATAATAGACTTGTTGGTCAGTGGAATAGAACAGAAGATGCAGAAAAAACTCCATGCACACTCAGCTACCTCATCTTTGACAAAGGGGCCAAAACCTTCACTGGAAGAAAGGTAGACTCTTCAATAAATGGCACTGGGAAAACTGGCTTTCCACAGCCAAAAATTGAATCTAGATCCCTGTCTGTCACTGTGCTCTAAACTAAAATCAAAATGGATCAAAGATCTAAATAGTGCAACCACTATGGAAATCAATATGGAGATACCTCAAAGAGCTTGGACTGGAGGTTCCATTTGACCCAGCCATCCCTCTGTTGGGTATCTTTCCAAGAGAACACTAAGAATCATATCACAGAGAAGTATGTGCACCCATGTTTATAGCGGCACAGTTTGTAATAGCTAAATCTTGGAAACAACCTATTTGCCCATCCGTTGGAAACTGGATAAAGAAGTTGTGGTTTTTCTATAAAATGGAATATTACTCAGCCATAAAGAGCGAGAGAATAGATTCATTCATAGGAAAATGGATACATATTGAAGATATACTCCTAAGTGAAATAAATAAGTCCCACATGTGTAAATACCAAATAGTTTCCCTGGTGTGAATATTCTGCAACAATGCATAAGATTCTAATAAGATTACTGACATTTAGAAATGGGAGGAAAGGAGCTAAAGGTGTAGGGAAGGTGTGATACGTAGGGGAAGAACAAAAAGGGAAAAGAAAAAAATGTGAGAGAATGAAAAGATGAAAATAAAGTGTTTGTAGATGGGGAGGGGAGGAGGGGGTGAAGGGAGGGCAGAGGTAAGGGGAAAAAACTGAGAATCAAGACTTGCCATGTAAAGGTACATGATCCCAACAATGAATGTAACTGTACTGTATCCCTAAATGTACCAATAAACTCAATAAAAAAAAGATCTAAATATTAAAACAGAAATACTTAATCTGCTTGAAGATATAATAGGTAAAACTCTAGAAGACATAGGTGTATGTAAAGGCTTTAAAACCTTGTCACACAGAAAATATTACAAAGAAACAACTGCAATCACATCAAATGAAAAAGCTTCGCCACAGCAAAAGAAACCGCCAACAGTGAAGATACAACCCACAGAGTGGGAAAAACTTTTTACCAGGTGCTCCTCAGACAAAGGACTAACATCTAGAATATATGAAGAACTCAAAAACAAAAATCAGATCCCCAGAATTGAAGGGACCCAAATGGGCATCTGAAATGAACAGATGTTTCTCAGATGAAAAAGTACAAACAGCAAATAAATATATGAAAAAATGCTCAGCATCCCTGGTCATTTGAGAAATGCAAGTTAAAACAACTCGGAGATTCCATCTCACTCCAGAAAGAATGGCCATCATCCAGAAATCGACCAGTAACAAATGCTGGTGAGGCTGTGGAGGAGAAAGAACCCTTCTCCATTGCTGGTGACAGTGCAGAATGGTGCAACCACTATGGAAATCAGTGTGGAGATGCCTCAAAAAACTAAAACTAGAGGTTCCATTTGACCCAGCTATTCCTCATCTAAATAACTTTCTGAAAGAATTAGAAGCATCAAAGCACAGTGATGTAGGAACACCCGTATTTATAGCAGCACAATTTATAATAGCTAAGGCTTGGAAACAGCCCATGTACCCATCAACAGATGAATGGTTAAAGAAGCTGTAGTATTTATATACAATTAATTACTACTCTGCCATAAGAAGGATACATCTGAATCATTTGTAGGAAAATGCCTGCTCCTCAAGACCATAATCTTAAGTTAAATAAATCAGACACACCAATTCAAATATCACATTGTTTCTGTCCTGGGGGAAACTTAAAGGGTAAATGAGGACAGTTACTGGGAAGTAGGAAGGACCTGTTCAAATGGAAAGGGAAACGAGGAGGAAGGAGAAGGCATTGAAAGGAAAAGAAAACAGAATGGAAGGAAAAATGGAAATAAAGCTTGTTTAAATGGGACGGGAGGGCTGACAAGAGGGGAAGGGAAGAAAGGCTGAAAGGAGGGGAGGGGAATGGGAAATAGGAAGAATTGGCTATGTTATTTATGATGAAGAAAGGTAAAAATGAAAAGATTCTTTGTCTTCTTACTGTGGTCTGAAATGTTTCTGCTTCCTGCCCTGCCACATGCCCAGGCAAGGACTGACCTGACTTCTGTCACATACATGTGCTGCTATTTTCTAAAAAACCTATACAGGGAGAGTATACCGTGTGGTTTCTCTGACTTCCTTTCACCAAGCACAATTATTTTGAGATCAATCCATGATCTAGACCCATGTTTGCTGTGTAGAATCCCATTGCCAGTTTATGCCTTCAGGTATTCATTGGTGCTTGCATTTTAGTTTCCACTTATTGAAGATAACGCTGATGCATGTGGTCTTATAAAATTCTCTGCATGGGAATTCAGAGATTGGATGAGCAGAACAATAAGATACTTAATTGTTAACTCGTAAGCTGCCAAAATGCTTTCTGAAGTGATTGCACCACTAGTAAGGTACTACACTTCCTCCCGGACCTGTGTGATCAGACTTTAATTTTTTCCTCTTCAAAAGGGAAAGAGTGGTAGCTCCTTGCAGAATGAATTTTCACTTAGTGGAGAACTGATTATGATAAGAAATACTTACGTGGTTATTTGAAGTCTTGATGTGTTCCATGATGAAATATCATTTCAAGTCCCGTTGCTTGTGCTTTCAGTTTGTAAACATTTTCTCATTGTTGTGCTTCATATTTCTTTTATGGTATAGAAAGTTTTTCTCAGATGTATGATTTGCAAATATTTCATCCTAATCTGCGCCTTGTGCTTTCATTCTTGTAGCAATGTCTTTGAAGGGGCAGTTCTGAAATTTGATACAACCTAATCCATCATTTGTGTTTCTGTTATGGATACTGTTGATGATGTTATCTATAAGAAATCTCTAATCCTTGAGACCAACAGTTTTGTCCCATGGAAATGTGTATTACTTATTTTCCCATTGCTGGCCACAATACTCGACACTGGAACTTACAGGTGGAGAAGTTCATATTGGCTCACAAATTCAGTGGGGTTAGTCCATGCTCAGCTCTAAGGCAGACACTGCATGGTGGAAGGGGAGGAAGAGGAAGGCTGATATATCTGGGCAGCCAGAAGCACAGCACAAGGGAGAAGCCAGGGGCAATTATACAGGCCTCCAGTCTCCACCCCTTTGACCCACCTTCATCAAAGCCCCACCTTCCAACAACACATTCAGACAGGAAACTCATTCAGCGCTGAACTCACTGAATATAGGACCTCACAGTTAAATCACCCTCCAAATACATGAGAGTTTCTGTGGTCTTTTACATCCAAACATACATAAAAATATGGACTAAAGATTGACATTTTGGTCTTTGGTCAGTTTTGACTTGATCAGTTAATCCTGGCATGTAAGAGATAAGGATCAAAGATCACACCTTTTGCATGGCTCTATACAGACCACACTCAGGTATGGCATGGATCCAGACATATTTGTCATAAAGATTATCCTTTTCTCACCAATTGGCCTTTACATCTTTCTTGAAATTCATTCTTCCATATATGTGTGGTTCTATAGGATCTCTGTTCTCTTTCCATACCTGTTTCTTGGATATAACATTCTACCCCTGACCTCACTTACATTGCCCATGTAAGTTTGCTACCTTTATCATGGCCTCACAATTTTGTGTAATTTTTTTTGTATTGTGAAATGGTGTGTTAACTGAGGCATAGTATCGGTGAGGGGCGGGGAAGAATAACCCAGGCCTAGCACAACCCCTCCAGAAGGTGTGGGGGTGTGGAGCACAAGGGCAGAAGCAGGTGCTGTGGGACCCACAGTGGACACAGGGCTTCACTGATGTGTCCGATCTGCAGTGACTGGGTGTCTGGCCCTCTTGTGATGATCAAGGAAGATCACTGCCTGCTGTTCCTGGGCCGGGATTGGGGTCAATGGGTACGAGGTGTGCCTGGGATCCCAGTGAGGCACATGGGGAACCACAGACTGTGTCCCACCGCCACCTGCTCAGGCCACACTCCTGTACTATGGTTCCCTGTTCTTCCTCTGCCTGACCTCCCCTTCCTAGATCCCTCCTTGCTCCTCTGACATCCCAGGCCCTGGGATGAGATCACAAGAGGAGGAGATATTGTGTGTGCAGCTGCACAAAGTCCATTGTCCCTGGTAATTGCTGTCACCAAGCAGGTATAGTGGGGGGAAAATCAGGGTTGAAACTTTGTCCAGTGCAGTGCCTCTTTCTATTCATTTTCCTCCTCTTCCCACCCCTTCCCTGTCTTCTTTCCACCACACACAGCTGGTTTGTGCTGCATGTGACTGCTTTGGGGGCTGCTTTGTGAAACTCCAGGGATGGCTGATCTATTGTCACACGTACCAAGCTAGAACCAACATGATATTGCCCTTGTTCCAGGGCTGGTGTGAGGGTACAGAGGAAACCCCTGTTCTTGGCTTATGGTGGCCTCAGGCGACTTTCAGCACCATGTGTTCTCAGAGGACTCATTGGGCAGAACTGGGTCCTGAGGTCAAGCTGGAGACCCCTGAATGTGGAGCATCCAGGTGCTGACCCGGGTGTGGTACAGGCTCACATGGATACTTGGAATGGCAAGTGTAGATCCTCCTTCCTGTCTGGCAGGGTCCAGGTGGGTACTGGGCATGTAGGATTGGTTATGGGGAATAGCAGAATTGCAACTAGCCAAGGAGCCCAGGAGGCTGGGTAGCTGGATCCTCAAATTAGAAAAATGGGAAGTGAAGGTGCACCAGCCCACCTGGACCTGGAGATACAAATTTTCCCAGTAGGGACATGCGTCCCTGTCCCAGTCCCAAGACCTCCCTTTGGCCAACCATTGGCTGTCTGTCTTATGAGGCTTGGAGTTGATGGTTAGGTCTGTGGCTGGCACACCCCCATGTCCCTTGGGAACTGAACCCCAGCTGGACCAGGGAGGTCCCAGGGGACATTTGAGTACAGTGCACTTATGGGATGTGCCTCTGCTCCAGCTCTTGGTTGTCAGGTGAGGAGGTCTTCAGAATCTATCTTCTTTCCTCGGGTTAAAGGTCAGGTAGATTCCAGTTTGCCCCCATTTCTTCCCCTGCCTGCCCACTGATGCCATAGTCTCAATGCCTTAGTGCCTTAACTTTTGTTTAAAAATAACTCTATTATTTGCATACATCCAGAAAATGACAGCCAAAGTAAGGAACAAAACATAAGCCATAGTAATGGAGGATAAAGGCAGGTGTGGGGCAGGGGCTGGCCACAAGGGGAGCTCAGGAGCTGACCCCTGCTGAGGAGCCACCAGGAGCCCCAGCTGGGCAGCTGGTGGAGAAGGGGTTCCAGGTGATGGCTGTGGCTCTGCTGCCAGAGCTGGACAGGGAGCTGCAGGTGGAGCTGACATGGGCTCTCCAGTTGGCACTTCAGCTTGGGGTGTAGCTAGACCCGCTGCTGTGAGAGAAGGAAAGATCACCAACTATCTTTGTTCCTTCCTGGGGCAAAACCTTCCCACCACCTGTCAGAGAGCTCTGAGCTTCCCCAGGAAGTCGCCCCAGACGGCGTCCACCCACTGCCTGCTGAGTGTCCCCTGTTCCTAGGACGCCCAGCACCTGGAAGCTCTCTCTGTCCAAAGGCCCATCCGTCCCCTCATGCCCACAGGCTCATACCCGCTTGTTCCTCATGCTTGGGCTCTGTCTCAGTGGGCTCGTAGCGCTCCAGCTGAGCCAGCAGAAGTGTGCCAGTGTGATGGACCTGGGACTGCAGCTGTAGGAAGGACTCGATGACAGAGGACATGGAGCTGGGGAAGGCAGATAGGAGGCAGAGTGAGAGACCAGGCCATTCCTCCCATACTACCTGCCCAGGAAGCGTGCAGGGATGGATACTTGAGCCTCCTGCCCCATCTGCCCGTGCCCCAGCCCCACCCTCTCCCCACCCGCTATAGGGCAGTCCTGGCTCAGGTAACCCTGAGAGCCCGACAGGAGGCTCCATGGGAGGGAGACCTTGTTCAGGGGTGTGACCCTCTCTGCCTTCCTGAGGGCAGCCTGACACGGTGTCTCCGTGCCTGTCCCCACTGTCAGCTCCATGAGGACCGAGTCTGGTGTCTGTTGTGTGGTTGCACTCAAGGGCACAGGGCTGCTGCTCCATAACTAAGAAGTGAAGGACAGTAGGCGTCTGTCCTGCCCTGCCTCTCCTCAAGCTGTAGTTCCTGTGATGTTGTTGCCCAGCGTCTCTGCTTCTTCTGCTCTCCCCTTGAACTGCTGTGAATCCCCTGCTGCTGTAGCTGGTTTAACATGGGGCCAAGGGCAGGATCGACCCTTATGATAAGAGTCCTCTTCCCATCCTGCAGTCACAAAGTGAGCTTGATTTTTTCAGCACCGCCCTGCTCACAGTTGCCAACTGAGACTGAGAGGGGCTTGCAGGTTCCCAAGATTGGAGCCATAGTGTGCTGCTGAGGGGATAACTCACCTTTTCAGCCTCCCCTCCTGTGGGGAGGAAATGCAGGCCCTTGTGGGTTCCTGGAAGGAGGGTCGGTTGATGGGGCAGCTGTCCGGGAAGGCCTGCTCCAGCAGCTTGGACGGGGTGTGTGGCCTGCCCGCCTGAGCCGTCACTGTGCAGACCTCTGCCAGGCTCTCGGCCTCCTGATTTCCAATCTGTGATGGGACAGTGGGGAGCCATAGAGTTGGGGTATCAGCCATGGCTCATCAGGAGGGTTGGAGGATTAAAACCTGATCCACCTGTGAATCATCCACAGAGGCTCCTACCAGGAGGGCTCGGAAGAGTGATTGTTGTATGAAATTAAATTTCAGAAGGGACACCTAGAAATGCTAGCATTTCAGGCCTGCTTGTTAGCAGAGGAGAGGCTGTGTGTAACTCCGTGCATGAAGAGCAATAGCCCCTGGGTCCTGAGACCCCTCCCAGGGTAGAGAGGATTCCTCAATCCACATGGACACCTGGGCCAGCAGGGACAATGAGGTGACATGGCAGAGTGCGATCATGGCAGGAGTGAGGTGACTCAGTGTCCATGTCTTTTTCCTGTTCTCCCCAGCATGTGGACAGTGACCTTGCCCCTGGCCATGGTGTTGGCTGAGCAGAGAGTGTGTGGATGCTGAGCTCATGGGGTCTGGAGTCCTTTGCGAGCAGGACCCTGGGTCACTGCTCCCAAGCCCTGCAGTGAGGAGGTAAAGGTGTTAATCTGTCCCCGAGGGTCTGCTCTTTCCCCGTGTCCTCAGTACAGACTGACCTGTGCTCTCACTCACATCCTGTGCCCAACATGACACCTGCTGTTATTGTGCCCTCAGTGTCTGTCACAGGCTTATGGCACACAGGCCCCTGTGACAGCTCCATGCTGATGTCCTGTGGGCAGTTCCATGGGGACAGTGCCCATCAGCCAGCACAAGAATGAGGCTCTGCCTGACCACAATTTATGCTGTTTTTTAAAAATCCAGGGCCCAAACACAAACAGCTTTGTCACAGGCTTCTACCCCAGGGGCACATTAGATGTTCTGGAGGCTGTGGGTTGTCAGTGGGCACTGCCCTCTCCTCCTGCCAGCCCTGTCATGGGTGAGATGGGACAGGACCCTGGGCTCACAGTCTCCCAGTGCCTGTTCCTGCCCAGTAGAATCTTCTCTCCTGATCCTGTCCCCCCAACAGAGAGTGAAGTCCTAGGGTGGGAGTTGTTCAGGAGACTCACAGTGGTGTCCAGGCCTAAATGTTCTTGTCCTGGACTCAATTTCTCAAAGTGTCTGGCTTCCGGGCCCAGTGAGACCTGCCCAGGGCTCCCCCTCATCTCAGGGCCCGAGGTGTCTGATTCTGGAGAGACCTGGCCTGTGTTGCCCACATGATGCACTGAGCGGTTCCTGGCCAGTGTTCTTTTGCGCCTGGACTTAGATATCCATCCTCTCACTCTTTCCCGAGTGCTTCCCCTGCGCGGGGTCCTGAGGCTGCGGCCTCGAGGTCTGGGAAAGCAACACAGCATCTTCGCTGCTGAGTGTCTCCAGCCAAGTGACTCTTAGACAGCAGTCATGACTGTGGTGCCTGTTGACTCTAGGGTTCCGAGTTCTGTTTGGACCTGTCACCAAGGAAGTGAGGTCATCTGCTGGGGCCCATAAGCTGAGGCTCCCCCTCTGATAGGAAGACCCTGTGGCCCCTTCCTTTTCACAGTGGAACAAATGGGTGTGCTCCTCAGTAACAATGAGAAAGTAGGAAAGCTGTCTGGGATGTGAGACTTTGGTGACGTTTAAGTTTTGTTGCAACAAATAAGTAGATGCAGGCACAGTAGGAGTTGTGTTTTTCAATCTGAAGAATTCATTCTCTGTCAAGACACTGTGCTCAGGGTCATCACTTAGAGATCGGCTGGATTTTCTTTCCCATGTTGACTTTAATTTCAGTTTCAATAGGGACCATAGAAATGTGCCACAAATGCCCATAGCAATTTTCCTTAAAGGATATAACCATTTCCAATTATATCCCCTGCGTGGCCAGGCATGGAAGATCCACAGCAGGCTGTAATTCTCAAGTGCACACTGACAACTGTTCACACAAAGATCCTGAACTCAGTCACAAAGTGCAGTGTTCAGTGCTGAGCAGGCTTCTGGCTATGGTGTTCTTGTACTTAACGATGGTGCCGGGACTGGCCCCTAGCTATTGCTTGTATTCCTGTGTAGCACTTTTCCAGGCTGGCCCTTGGTTTGGGCCTGTTTGCCCAAGTGGCAGGAGTTAGGATAGGGCCCTGGCTTGACCTGCCTGAAGGTGCACTGCTCTCCTCCACACTGTTTCCCCTGGGATCTTAGCTCACTTACCGATGGCATTGGGGCAGGCCTCTGGCTGTTGCTTACATACCTGTGCAGCTCTTTTCTGCATGGGCCATTGTCTTGAGCTTGTGTGTCCATCGTGCTGGGGTTGGGGTGTGGCCCTGGATGAATCTACCTGGTCGGCGCTACCATGCCTTCTCTGTGTGAGCCAGCCAACCATGGACTAAAGCTTCTGAAACTGTGAACCAAGATAAACCTGTCCTCCTCTAAGTTGTGGTATCACGTATTATTTTTCAGTGACAGGAATGTGACTAAAACACTGTATTTGTGGTGAATGCTGTTCAGTGCTTACTGATAACTTAGCGCTAAGTGAGAGAAGAGTACAAATTGTATTCATCAATACATTAGGTGCAGGTGCTGAAAACCCAATTCACACAAATTTACACAAAAGTAATCCAGTCCTGTAGTTGGGAAGCCAGCCTGGCCTGGATCCAGGCATTAAGCTCTACTTTTCAAACCATGACTACTTGCACTGGGCTGCCTTTCCTCTCAAGGGAGCTTTCTACTAGCTGGCGGAAAGGTCTTGACCAGTAGCTCCCAACTCCCAGCAGTAAAAATGAAAATGAAAACAAAGTACAAAACAATAGGAGCAGCAAAACTCTTCCTGTCTTCCCAGGCTCCCTGGAGACCTCTTGCCTATGGTTGCCCTGTTTGAGCTTTGCTTGCTCTGGGTGGGCATCAGGTCCCTGTACATCATCACCCTTTTACCTAGGAGCAGTGATGCTCTGAGGAAAACTGGAGTGCTATTACCAGAATAGATTGTTGGTGGTGTCAGGCCAGAGTAACAAAGAATCCCCATGAATCAGACTACCTAAATAGCATGCAGTCCATTTATTCTTTCAGATGCTGTAAGATTTACCTTAGATTAAGCAATCCTGCAGGAAGGTGGCACAGGAGAACTGCATCACTTTAGACCCTCAGACCTGCTTGTATTGAACTTGGAAGGATGCTCTGTTATCATGTCCCATTGAAGGGCCGTGTACTGAATGGCCCTGAGGATTGCTTTCTGATACTGGGAGAGAGTACTGAGGATTCCGCTCCTTTTCAGTCTCCAAGTCATCAGATTCTGTGTAAAACAAAACCACCAGGAAGAGTCATACTGTTTCCAAATACCTTTGGGATTTCACTTTCTGGACATTGTGACTTCTGAAATGGACAAGGGGCCTTTCATTGCCTTGCCAGAGTGATAGAGAGTTTGACAGATTGTTTTAATCAAGGCTTCCAAGAATGGACAGTTTTTAGTGCTAACCTCATTCCTTTATCGTTACCTTATATTTCCTTCAGTACAGTCTTCCAATCTTCCAATTCTTTTTTCTTATCCTCTTGGACTTTGTATGTTTTGTAAAATTTCTTAAGCCTTTTCTGAGAAAAAGTTGAGATATATACAGAATTTTGTGAAAATTTCGCTTCATGCATTGAAAAATCACCACAAATTAAGTAAATCTGCTTGGCTTTGGGAAGAAGTTTATTAACAGCACTTATTTGGGTTTCAGTTTTATATGAAGGAGATGTGAAACACTACAGAATTAAAAGACTGGATGAAGGAGGCTTTTTTCTTACCCGGAGAAAAACATTTTCTACTTTGAATGAACTTGTGAGCTATTACACTAAGACAAGCGATGGCCTGTGTGTCAGGCTGGAAAAACCATGCTTAAAGGTGAGCTATATCCAAGCTGTATTCATTTATTTTGAAGTTAACTTTTCCTTTCCAATATTTGTCATGTAATCTCAGTTCAGGAAAAAAAAAGTTGTCATTTGATTTAGACCATAAATGGGCAAATTGTGGTTCATGGGCCAATATGGTCCCATATTTAATTATTTAATATAAATTTACTGGAAGATATATCCTCACTAATTTATGAACTGCGTTTGGCTGATTTTGGGCCCTCACAGTGAAGTGTAGTAGTTATAACAGATATAGTATGGCAGATACTGTTTCTTCTCTGACCAGGCACTCTGGGGAGAAAGGGGCCTTACCTTTTGGTACTCTTAATGACCCTTAGTTAATGCTAAAATATTTGTTTATTGAAGAAGGCATGAAGGAATGTGTGAACAAATGAAGAATTAGAAAATGAGCTTGAAAAAATGTTCTTTTACAAAAGTAATACGAACCATATGATAGGTACTACATCCCACAAGTTTGAGGAGGACTTGTGAGTGAGTGGCACTTCTGCCCGGTCTTAAAATTGGGGTGGGGCCAAGGTGAGAGGCAGAGAGAAGTCACTGTAGACCTGTATGAGGGTGGTGCTGGGTCCAGAACGGGACAGACATCAAGCCACGTGACTGTGGGAGGATCAGGTTAATGCATTAGCAGTGCAGAGCCTCCCGCAATAGTTTTCCATTTTTATAGTAATTAATATATAATTTACAGTATTTTGTTTTAAAAGCAGTATTTCCCATAAATAATACCCAGAGTCTTCATTTCAGCAAAAATGTTAAATCTACCTTTCTTTTTTTAATAAGTGTGCTCATTATTCTGTCCAACAGATACAGGTCCCAACTCCTTTTGATCTGTCCTATAAAACTGTGGACCAGTGGGAGATAGAGCGCAGCTCCGTGCAGCTTCTGAAGCGACTGGGATCCGGTCAGTTTGGCGAAGTCTGGGAAGGCCTGTGGAACAACACTACACCAGTAGCTGTGAAAACATTAAAACCAGGTGGGAGGATTTCGAAGGTTAACAGAATATGCTGCTTTGTATGAGCCCAGTTTTGCACTGCAAATTCCCAGGATGCGGAAGGGCAGCCTTTGCTGGTGGCCAGCAGGTGTTGCCATCATTCTGTCCACCCGGGGTTCCGTGACCTGTGGACAGGCTCTAACATATCAAGGCAAGGATGTGCTTTGGTTCAGCTAATTGTAAAATCTTCCTGATCGAGAGCCCAGTGCTACATTTCTTCTCTAATCTTTGTCTTCTGTATTCCAATGCCTCTTGCCCCCTTTGCTCCTGGCCTTGGTTAAAAAAATACTAAAAATACTTAAAAAACTCAAATGTCATGTTGATCCTATTCAGGGCCTAACTATTTTTTTACACACTAAATTGTAGATGCAGAAATGGTAAATGACTCACCTAAAAGTCCTCGTATTTAAAAATACAGGAACTAATTTTTCCCTTCTCCATTGTCCCTGTGGTAGTAAGGAAAAATGTACTAAAATTGACATTCAGTAAGCCAGGTGATTCCCTCTGTGTTAAATGTGGGGTAAGGATTTAGAGAGGTTTAGAGAGGTTAAGTAACTTTCCGAAGTTTTACTATTCGTTTAATCTTGAGCAAATGTTTTAACCACTCTGTGTTTCAGTTTTATCATTTGTAAAATGGAAATATTAATAAGGCCAAATTAGCAGAGTTATTATGAAGATTAATTAAGTAATTAGTAGAAATGCTTTACATAGTGCGTGGTTCATAGTAAGTGACTAATACAGAATATTATTAGTAAAAATTCAGTAGCTGCTGTTGTTGGGATTTTAACCTGTACCTGTCACTGTTGTCATGCCCCTTGGAAGGGACATTCTGTCAAAGGTAGCACTAGGCTGGCAGCTTCATATCTGCTTCTGATAGCATGGCTAAGAATAATGAGCATAGGTCTCTAGGCTTCTCTTCTGGATCGCCATTACTTACTGAGCCCAGACTTGGCAGTTCCACTAGTGCCAGAAATTAACCTGACTGGCAGTGTGCTCCCAAACCACGTGCCGAGGTACACAGGGGAACCGCAGTGAATGCTGGGACGTGTAAAAACTTTGAGGTCAACATCTTAGATGTGACACAAATTGCTACCTTGGAGTAGTTTGCAATTTTAGCTTTAGACCATGTCCCATTCCTTCTCTTGATCCTAGTTTTGTGACACTGGGTGTTTGACAAGTGCTGTGGTCAACTGCAGGATGCACACAAAATCAACATGGACTTGGAAATGAGGGTGGCTGTGCTCATTCTAATTCCAAGACTTGAGAAGTTTGCAGTGCCCAGTAGCTGCTTTTATCACGTTAGCAAGTAACTGTGGCTAAGAATGAAACTAACCTGTACTACTTTTTCAGAGCTTTTAAGGACAAATTCTGGTGTGGATCTAACCAAGTAGGAAAAGGATGTGTTTTGGTATGAGGCATTAAAAAAAAATGTGCTGTGAACTGAAAATGTTGCAATCTTGTGGAGGAAAAATTAAGAACATAGAGTTTCCAAGTTTTAGCTATTACTGTGCTGCTATGAACATGGGTGAGCATATTTCACAGTGGTATGATGATTTTAATTCTTTGGTGAAGATACCCAGCAGGGGGATAGCTGGGTCCAGTGGGACCTCTAATCCTAGTTCTTTGAGGCATCTCCATATTGATTTCCACTGTGGTAAGAACATAGAGTTAGGTGTAAAAGAACCCTGAATTCAAATGTGGCCCTGTCCTTTGTGACTGTGAACATTTATTAACCTTTCTGAACCCTCTCATTTGGAAATGTGAATTACAATACTTCCTGCTTTTAGGAATTTATGAGGTCAGATTTAGGTCATGTGCATGAAGTATCTGCAGGAGTTCTTAATAAATGTGGGGGTCCATGTGGCTACTGATAGAAGTGCCAACTCCCTAGATGAAACAGTCCAGAGATGCTTTTTAAGAAGTCTGACACCATATGACCATTCCAAGGGAGGACAGTCTGTAGTCAGCACCTGAGATTTTTGCACTCATCATGTAGATATGTTTTTAAATCCCAAACTGGTTGACAGTTAAGAAAATTTTTCTCCAGAATAATCATTGTTTTCCAAAAAGAAGCAGAGAGCTATCCTTCCAAACAGGTGGTCTCTAAGGAAGGCCTCCTTGGGGTCGAAAAAGAACAGAAATCATATTTCTTACACACACACACACACACACACACACACACACACACACACACAGAAGCCCAGTAGTTTTCTTTCCAACACTTACTGATTTACTGTTTAATAGCAGCAAACAGCTTTGTAGAGTGTTTAAATATCTTCCCTTCATTGAGGCCATTAATCAATCTTAGCAGCTATTTTGCTTAGCAGACTACCGTGCAATAATGATGAGCCTGAAATAAACTCCTACAGTAGTTTTGACAGGGAAGATGAATATTTAATGTTGGATTACTGGTGGGTCTCTCTTCTTCTGCAGTTGGTCAGCTACAACTAGCAGAGCCAAGAGGAACTGAACAGCCTTCACCTGCCGGGGCACTGACCCATCACTGTTTCAGCTTCTCTGATAGTCTGACTTGGGAATAATTTAAGTATCCTGCATCAGTTGTCTGACTGGTGATCATAATTGCTGTTGTCACTGGAAGTTCATCAGTCATAGTTTTGAAAGAGGGAAGGTCATCCTATGTCCATATTTGATCACAGACCAGATAGCCAAGAACAAAGTCCTTTCTTATGCTTTAGATGCCTCTATATGCTCAGCTACATTTTTCTATCATGATTCTAAGTTTTAATCCTATTTGATTATGCAGAGTAAACCAGTAGCAGAGTTAGAATTGATGGAACTCAGGAAAATTTGGTAGAAAAGAGAATAGGCTGGTTTTATTTTTTCTTTCTCTTTAAGACCTTGCCCCTTCTCAGTCAATGAAAAAGCACAGTTGAGCTGTTTGGTTTCCCAAAAGTATGCCTATTAAAAATAATGCAAATAGTAACCAGCAGCCATTGAATACATACGTGCCAGGCATTGCTGTTATTCAGATGATGATTTTAGGATGCCAATAGGACTATTAGTGATACTTTCCAGATGAAGAAATCTAAATTCAGAGCAGCTTGATAACTGCTTAGATCCTACAAGGGCTGATAGCAGAGCTGAAATTTGTGCAGAATCCATAGTGTGATGGGACCTACGTATGGAGCTTCTAGACTCTTAAACAGCAGATGACAGTAGTGTTTTAAATGATGTAATCTATTGGCCATATCTTTGTAACTTCACATGAACAAACAAATCCCAGTGCTGCCTTAGACTGCCAGAGCTCATTGATGCCTGGGTCTGGTGTCTGCTGTGAAGACGTCCACTGGAGAGGATGGTGACTGGGGTGGTCAGTGGAGGGATATTTGCTATCCTCAGTGAATACTAAGATGTGCAAGGACTAATGCTTCTGGAACATCGTATTCTAAAATAAATCTATGAATTAAAAATTACGGATGACCGTAAAACCCCTCTTTTAGATGTTATTTGATATTAGCTACTTGGTACTTGGAATGGTAAATCAGAGTTGAACTACTTAAACACAGTTTAATTGTATATCAGTCCTCAAAATAGGCTCTGACGCTGTCTCCCTTACCATTTGGTTAGGGCTCTGATGACAGAAGCTGAGAATACAGAAGTAAATGTTGAATATCAGTTTCATGTTAAAAATAAAACTGATGTAGGAGAAAAAACCCTTAGTTTTGGGAATGGCCCTTGAATCTTTTCTACTTGACCTGTTTCTGTGTTTCTGCAGAATTAAAGACACAAATATTGCAGAATGTCATTATTTTAGGATTGTTTTTCCGCTGTTCCCACAGTGGGCACCAAGGACAGTGCTATTCATCTTCCCTGGATCCAGAGGACCAGCTCGGGCTGAAGTAATTAAACATTCACTGTCCTCTGGTGTTCATGCTGACCGAATGTCTTTTCTTTGTGTTCCTAAGATACTTGCCTTGTTTTATCAATTAGACTGTCAGCTGTGCCTTTTCTCTCCATTCTTCTTATGGACCTGAATCAACGGCTCTTCATCTGTGGGCCATGACACGTAAACTGCACACCCCTGAAGCAATAGCATACCTGGTAATTAGGTTGCCCCGGCTGAACCGATTCCATTCTTTAATAACTTTGAAGATTTGTGACACCAATGCTCTTACATTAGTGTGATTCCCACCAGTCCGCGGAAAGGATAGCGGTGCCGCAATGACACAGTGATTTCCTCCTCTTTTTGTTTCAGGTTCAATGGATCCAAACGACTTTCTGAGGGAGGCACAGATAATGAAGAGCCTAAGACATCCAAAGCTTATCCAGCTTTATGCTGTTTGCACTTTAGAAGATCCAATTTATATTATTACAGAATTGATGAGACATGGAAGTCTACATGAATATCTCCAAAGTAAGCTAAAGACTTAATAAGAGGAAGAAAAATATAAATGGAGAAATTTAGGTTAGCAGTCCTATAAATGTCAATTTAGCAAGCCATCTGGAATCAGAGGGATATTTACCAAGTGTATCTGTGAGAATGAACTTTGTAACGTGGAGTTTCCCAACTACTACTTACTAGGATATGTTCTGTGCACTCAAAGAGAGGAAAGCTATTTGTGCAGTGATGAGCACACAACAAGCCTATCACAGTAAGCCTATCAGAGTACTTAAATGGAATGTGGAAAATTAATGAATGGTTATTTTGCATGATGCTTTGTTTCCTGCTAAAGTAATTGAACATAGTCATGGACCAGTATTTTTCAGAATTTGAGGATATGGAATACTTTTTTTTTTTGGTACTGGGGATTGAACTCGGGTCTTTGTGCTTGCAAGGGAGCCCACCAAACCGCTGAGCTAAATCCCTGGCCCCTGGAATACTTTTAAAGAAAGTAGCCTAGGCTTTTTTTCCAGTATTTGCTAGTACTGTACTTGTTAGTGTTTTAAAATACTTCCACTGATGGGCCGAGGATTTAGCTCGGTGGTTCTGCTGCCTGCCTCGCAAGTGCAAGGTCCTGAGTTTGATCCCTGGTACAAAAAAAAAAAACAAAACAACAACAATAACAAAACAACTTCCAATATAGGCAATATTAAAATTTTCAGACAATAGCAGAACTATACTATTACTTTGCTCCTTCATCTGCTTCCTGCAGACAAAGAAGACAAGGGTATTAGGGCATTATGAAACTCTGATGTTCACTACAAATTAATTATATAATAAACAATAAAATAAAAAGCATTAAGCAAGCTGTTCAAAGAAGTTGAGGTCAAACACTGAGAGAATAATTCATGCTTGGAAAATGGACCTTTTTCTATAATTTCTTACGATGTCAGCATGGGATTGATAGAATATAGAAAAGTAAAGGAAGTTAAGAGTAACAGTACAAAGATTTTACAATGATAAAATTATTCTCTGATTCAGAGTGACTCATGAATCTTGTAATTCCAAATTCTAAATAAAATGAAAAGGAGAACATGCTATGATGTATTAAATGCTGTTGAAAACAAAATCATACTTAGTTGCCTCCCCTAGGGTATTAAATTCAACAGCCTCAGAATATGTTACCTGGCCGAAAGTGGCCATTGGTTCCTTTGGCCGTAGGCCCAGAACAGAGTCCAAGAGTGACTTTGGGTCATCTGGAACAACTCCCAGTATTTGGACGTATCAGGTGTTTCATAGATGCAGCGTATCTGGCCACCAAGACTCTTCACTCTGTGCCTCCTCTCCTTTGTTATTAGTTTTTCCATCTACACGATTTTCCTCAGATCCCAGACTTCTCAACATTTTGAAAGTTTCCAGGGCTCTTTCACAGTACAATTAGTTTCCTTGCTAATTTTACCCAGTCTTGTTGTTTCACTGTTTATGTATCAATGGTCCCCAACTTTCTTCACTTCCTTACTTTGGAGTAACACACCCACCTGCCTTGCTGAACTCTCCACGTGACTGCTGGCTCCATCTGTCAGGTGAACCTGAGAGCAGTAGGATGACCAGGTAGACAGGTCAGAACGTCACATGCAGAGCTGGCCGCATCCTTGCACTCTGCTCTCTTGGCCGGGATTGCCTCTACTCACACCCACATTTGCCTATCCGGGAAACCCCAGTGGCCATCCTCTGACATGGGGCCATTGATTCTTCTCTTCGCAGATTCCCACCCAGGTTCAAGCCATTCCGACTGTGGCCTGGGTTCTGTAGTGGCATCTTCACTGGGGAGGCGACTTCACTCGCTCTTTTGCTTCTTGCCTGTTTAGTCTTTTCTTAGCACAATAGCTGGAGAGATCCAGTTAAGATGTAAATCAGAGCATTAAACTGTTTCTCCTCAGTTTAAAGCCTTGAAAAACTCCTGTGTTTTATTTTTTTTCTGTTTAACTCCTCTAGCCTCCCACAGCTGGTTCTACCTTACTTCACTGGCCTCATTCCTGCATCTTTCCTCTTGCTCACCCTGTGTTACCACACTGGCATTCTTTGTTATTCTTCCGGCCCTATAGGTCTGCTTTTACCTGAGTCCTTTGCATCTATGATTTCTTTTGCCTCCACACCCCTCCTATCTATCCATGTGCTCACCCCTTACTTCCTGAAAGTAAGATGCTTAGATGTTTTCATCCAGAGAATTTTTCACTGGTCAGCTATCAAGTTCTAAAATTTAGTCTCCTTTTACTGATTCTTCATAATCTTCTTTCCATTTGGCTTTCTCTCCTTACTTGAATCATCTTATACTGTATGACTTCTTTATTTAGCTCATTTTTAATATCTTCTAAATACAACTCCATGAGGGCAGGGATTTTTCTTTGTTGTAGCATTAGAGCCATGTCTGGCACATAGAACTTATGCACTAATTGTTTGTTGACTGACTTAACAGATTGAGTCAGGCCATCCCTACCTTAAAAGACTGGGGTCGGTCTCAAGTCAAGGTAGATTGGAGACTCTTGGTATCAGCTTGAGAAGAGCCAGTTGAGAAGAGCAACTTTGCAAAATAGCTGGCATTGGGTTTTCTGTGGCTCATTGATGAGCTTTACTCAAGGCTGAGTACAAACCCTGTCATCTTTTGGATTAGGCCATCCTGGGTAACTTTAACAAGGCAGCCAGAAGAACTAATGAATGCACATTTGCCATATGCAATGGCATTCTAATTATGAGCTGTAAATTCAATAAAATTATCTTAAAATGAATTGGCCACTTAAATATGCCACATGGTAACTATAACTAAACTGAAAAACTCTTTTGTGATAGAATGAATGTAAATGAAATAAAGTTCTTTTTGCTGCAGAGATGAACTGTCATGGATTTGTGAATCTTTACAGCAATTTGACATGTGGCTCCGCCTAAGCCTTTGGATTGAGGACGCCAGCTTGCTGCTGGTTGTTGGCTGGAGCATGCCCTATGCTTTCCTGCATCTGGTCCCTTATAACTTGGAATCTTGCTTCTTTAGAGTGAGCAAATGAAAAGGCAACAGGATGGGCAGCATCAATAAAAGGAAGCTGCTGGTCTCATTAGACATGAGGCTTGTTTAGGCAGCTCCTCGGCCACTGCACTCTTCAGGACAGAAAATGCAGATCATCCAATTGCCTCCAGTGCTGTGTTGCCATAAAAGCCTTTTATAGCAACTGTAGTAGGATTCATTGTTGTATTTGATATTTGAGGAGAAGAGGTGCTCAGGAATATAGCCAAGAAGAAGGGGCTGGGGCCAGATATAGCCCCATGTCACACACCTGCATCTCAACCAGACACATCCAGAAATGTGCTTTACTAATCTTCTGGAGTTGACAATCAAGACTGACTATTGTAGAATCAGTGATAATACTAAAGGCTAGGATGTATTGAGTTCTTGGTAGCAGATATTGTTTTAAGTGTTTGACATACATTAATATGTTTTGACCTTCATTTTAGCAACTAGTACTATAAGGTGGTTCCTGTTATCACTAGACAGAAAAGGAAACTGGGATACAAGTGTGGCAAGCAGTTAGAGCAAGGTCACATAGAAATATGAGGCATCAGTTTGATCGCAAGTCTGATGCCAGTTCCAAACCAAACAGTCTTCTCAGCTCTGTACTATAGTTTCCCTTCAAGTCAAGGCTGTGTCTCTGCTTCATGACCATAACTCTGATGGAGTCTATGTAGTAATGTGTGTTACTCACACAGGGATGATAATAGTATGGGTTTATGTGATGCTTTTTTAATTCCACAGAAATCTGAGGATGCTACCCAGGGATGACATATGTTATGTACCCCATTAGAGATAGTTTCCACAAACCAGCACTCCTCGAGTTTGCTAATGATTCAAAGTGATCTTATCCCATCAATGTTTTTCGTAGTTCTGCAGGATGAGCAGCGAATTGCTGCCAATTAAAGGCATGTCTGTACCTAAGATATGCAAAGTGCTATAAGAATAATAGGCCAAGAAAAGGATGTTTTAAAAATTGTATTAAGCTTGGTGTTACAAATGCAGTAAACACATTTCATAACTACTCAGACAAGCTTAATTTTTCTTAGGAGGTTTGAAACAAAAAATTCTGATGAGGAAACAAAAACTTTTCATTAGTTCAGCCATGCAAATTAGGGTGAGTCTTTGGCTTGATGATTAAAACAAGCTATGCAATGTTTCAAAGAAATCCAGAAACACTGAAGTAACACTCAAGAAATGAGTCTGTGAGATTTACTTTTGAGGAATGGTAATAACTGGACTCTCTGACAATCAGAACCATGTTTGGTTTATAGGATACCTGTGCTTCTTTCTCAGACGGTCAGGGCCGTGGTGGAGAATTCCATCAACAGCCGATGAAGAAAAATTCTCCGAATTAATTTCAACTGTTCAAATATTTTCCAAAATGTATCTCCCATTTTCTCTTATCCCTTAGTTGATGCTGGGTCAAAAATCCACCTGAGCCAACAGGTGGACATGGCAGCACAGGTAGCTTCAGGAATGGCCTACCTGGAGTCCCGGAACTACATCCACAGGGACCTGGCTGCCAGAAATGTTCTCGTTGGTGAACACAATGTCTACAAAGTGGGAGACTTTGGACTTGCAAGAGTCTTCAAGGTAGATATAATTTGGAGTTAGTTTCCGTAACAGGTTAAAAGCTTAACAGATACATAGACCAAGAGATTCTTTAAAACATATTTTTTTCACATTCTGTGGTTCATGTACCATTTGAAGTAGCCCAAGACCTTACAGACCGGCTGCCTTCCTATTTCTGTTCTTCACTGAGGAGGAAAAATCCTAGAGAAAACAATGATCAATGACAATGAAATGTATGTCATTAAAATAGTGATTGCATTTCTGTTCTACTTTTCATTTAGCACTTGTGGCCTCTGTTTGTTTCTGCCTCCCTTACAACAGCTACTTAGGGTCACTCTCCCTGCCTTCCCACGAGACGTCATGCCTTGGGGTGGTGACCTTACTGAATTTGCTCACGAAGTGTCAGACCAAGCCACACACTGCAGAATTCTACAGTAGTCTTTGGCTTTGCAATCCCCTGCCCAGCCCATTTTGTGACATCAGTCCAAAAGATACTAACATAAAGACACAATATGAGTTATTTATCTCTGAACTTAACTTCAAATGATCATGTTGTGCCCCTAAAAATAAGAATATGGGGCATGAAACATAACAGGGGATCTCCTTCTGATCCTCATGAGTCATCATCTTTTTGTAAATTCATTACAACAGCGAGGTGATCTATTAATTTAAACAGTTGCAGTTCCACTTTTCAGCATTAGCTAGTGGGTACATGGTAATTATCACAGTCATTCGGTACCCTCAGTAAGTCAAAGAACAGAAGCTTTCCATTCATTTTATAAAAATATGCTAAGGATCAGACATAAAGAAGAATCGTGTGTGAATTTCCTTATACACAACGAAATGCTGCTTCCAGTGCTGTTCTCAACACGTAGTAGGCTCTCAGGTCATGTTTCATTAATGACCTCCCAGAGTTTTTAGTCTTCTGTGTCAGATTCAGAATTTGCTACTGGAATTATCAATTATTATTTTAAATATTTCCTTTCTAAATTTTAATGTGAGACTGGTTATAAATGAATGAAGATGGAGCAAAAAAAAAAAATTGCCTTAACTTGGCTTGAACCCTTAATGCATTAACAGGCAGGAAATGAAGACATCTATGAACAGAAACAAGAAATAAAGCTGCCGGTGAAGTGGACTGCGCCTGAAGCCATTCGTAGTAATAAATTTAACATTAAGTCCGATGTGTGGTCATTTGGAATTCTTCTTTACGAAATAATTACTTATGGCAGAATGCCTTATAGTGGTGAGTAATTGGTTCTGAGGAGGGCCTTTTTGCTGCAGGCCATGTACTTAGGCGTGGCTCTAACCGTGCTGCCAGACTTAGAGGGCAGACTGATGGCACTGGCTGTACCAGGAACCTGGGGGAGCTTGGCAGATAAAATTTGATGACGTTAATTTGCATTAATGAGGTGCTTTATGGCTTCCCTCTCCTTTTTTCTTGAATTTCAATCTTACAGATATCACTCACTGCAGGAATTTGTTTAGTCGCTGGGAAGGGGATGATAGATCTCATGGCTTCACCAAGGAAAATAATTTGTTTTGTAACCAGGGGTGTAAGTATGTATGAATTGAAGACTTGATCTTTCTCTTTTCTTTATTTTCAGGCAAGACAGGTGCTGAAGTAGTTCAGATGTTGAGTCAAAACTATAGACTCCCACAACCTTCCAACTGTCCTGAGCAATTCTACAGCATCATGTTGGAGTGCTGGAATGCAGAACCCAAGGAACGGCCAACGTTTGAGAAACTATGTCTGAAACTTGAGAACTATTTTGATACAGACTTATCATATTCAGAAACAGATAACTTCATAAATGAATGCTGAAGAAGAAATAATGAAGAAACTAAAAATGCAATAATCAGTCTAGAAATACAATCAGTAGCAAATGCAAAAATCAGTTTATCTTGACATATTCATGTGATAGGGTAAATTTGGTCATGCATTATTAAAATAATACTACATATGAATTTTATTGACAGGGAAATACTGTAGGCCAGTTCAAGATGATGTATCATTTTCTCACTGCATGGTAAAATCACACACATTAAGTGAAGTTACTTTTTCTTATATTTCTATTTATTGTTTTGAATGCTGATCAAAAGAATTAACAGGATAGTCAATTTTTGCTCAGTGACGGTATAGCATTTTCCTGTTTAGTAATTAGGCTGGTTATTCATTATCCCTTGGATTGCAAATCCCATCAGGCTGTTATTATGAAGGAAACTGATTGGTTTGCTGCACAGCAGGATCTGTGCTTTGGGAAAAATATTTTTTAAAAATATCCTGTAACTGCAATGGTGGCAAAGCCATGGTAAATGACTCGATTGCACTTGAAGTAATTGCACATATTTTTCCTATATATAAGAAACATGAAGCAGCTGTTGAGAAAAAAATTAAAATTTTTTTCCTTTTGTAGAAGGAAATGATGGAATTTTTCTGTACCTCAGTATGTGTCATTTGAGAATCGTCTACATTAGTTTTAATCTGTTAATTTTAAGAATCAGGTTGCAAAGCTGATAAATTCTGTATAGAAATATGGAAGAAATATCTGAAATCCCACAAAGTCTGAGAAATGAGTCTTAGTTTAGGAAAATAAGATCAGAATGGTAGGATTGTTATGGGCTTCTGTGTAATTAAAACATACCCTTGGCATAAAGGCCAGTTTAAATTAACTAGAAAGCCAATCTAGCTCTATTTCAGATCTAGAGGTTAGGAGTAATGACTGAATTTGGTTATAAAATTGCATTTTTTTGGACTAATAGGACAAGAAGGTTTTCATTATCTTAAATTTATATTACCCTTGGTAATAATGTTACTGCCATCTTAAACAATGGGTACATCAAATTCTGTTTTGTTAGATGGCTAGCAATACTTCTCCAGGGTAGCTTTGAAGTTAAACACATATGAAAGATCTTTTGATGCGTAGAAACACAAGTGAAGCAAGCCATGAGAACACATGTTATTTTGAGTATATTCCCTCATCTTTCTTTTAAAGAGAAGAGCACATCTAAAAAGACACCCTCATTTAAAGTGGGAAAGACAACATATCTGTAAACTCCTTTCCCCTTTCCTTTTTTTTTTTCTGAGATGGGTCTAGTTATGTTGCCCAAATTGGTCTCAAATTGATCCTCCTGCCTCTGCCTCCCAAGTAACTGGGATTACATCTTACAAATCTGTTAACTGTCAGATAGAAGGAGGGAGGGCTTGAGACACAAGATACCATTCATAGCTCAATGAAGCAAGTCCTCCCTAACCATCCCCCTGGCATTAGCATTGTTCTCATTTTCATGGTCACAGAGGCTGGCAGTGGCAACTGGGACTCATTTTTCTCTTTGGCTTATCCAGCAGAAGAAATGTGAAACCTTCATTGCAAGCTTGCATGAAAGTCACTGTCATGGTTTTTGCTTAGGTAAACTTTGAGTTACATATCCAGCTCAACCAGGAATACCATAGTGTGAATGCTCAGTGTTGATTGGCTTAGAAGAAGGTCTGCCACTGAAACCAGGAATGTTCATGCATTGGTCAGATTCCCTACTGCTAGAAACAATACCTGACACCTGCAATTTAGAGGAGGAGAGGTTTAACTTGGCTCTTGGTTTCAGAAGATTCAGTCTATTGGTTGGCTGGGTCCAAGACAGAAACATCACAGGGGAAGAACATGGCAGAGAAAAGCTGATTAGATCATGGTGGTCTGGAATCACAGCAGGAAACAGTGTGAGAGAGGAAAGGGCCAGGACCAGATATAGACTCCAGGTCACACCTCTATGATGCACCGAGGCAGTTGCCAAAATGTGCCTTCCTAATTCCCTAGATAGTCCCAAGCAGGGTGACAACTAAATTTAGCTATTCTATTCTGCTGCTCGTCACCTTGATACTCAAAAACATCTTAAGCCATAATTTTCTAAAACAGACAATAGCAAGATCATAATTCTTTCTAACATGATGCAACTGTCCTGTATACCTGAAAACAGATTCCTTCCCCAAAGTCTCAAAAGTTTCACCACTGCTCAAAAATGCAACTCCAAGGTTTCCTTTGAGACTCAAGGAAAATCCTTACCTGTAAACACTGGTAACAATGATAGAGCAAGTTACTTAACTCCCATATGCAATCTTTCAAGGAAAATATTCCCATTCCTTAAGGGAGTGCTATTGGGAGGTAGAAGTGAACAGGATGAAAGCAAGGGCAGTGTTAAATTCTGTGGCCATGTATCCAGCATCCAGGGCACACAGTGGTAAGAGGTGAGTTCCAGAGTGCTTGGATGAACCCACCTGTGTGGTCTTATTGGTTGCAGCTCATATAACCTCTCTCTCTTGGGCTGCAGTGGTCATCACCTATAGTTTTCTTCTGAAGACTTTATGTTCCTGACATTTTCTACTTCCTAGGGTTCCCATGGTACCCTTGGCTTCATTCCCATATCTTTAAGTATTTTCCTCTTGGGCAGATTACCTGACCTCACAGGCCTTCCCTTGGAATCTAGGTGAAAGCCTCCATGATTCTATAACACTTGCATTCTGCATGCCAGTAAAACAAGCATCACATGAACAAAGAAAAAGTTTACCACCAGTGCAAGCAGTTGCCAGGCCTCCTTGGACTCTGGTTACTGTAGCTTTGTGTGCTTGAATGGCTGAGTACCATGATGTGAATCATGAGGTCCTTCTTGAGATGGGGCCCCAGGGACTCTTTTCAAATGGAAGAATCATACTTTGGGACTTTTGACCCTGTAATGGCTGCATCTCTCTCTTCCACCCAGTTCAAAGTACTTATTTTTAATGTCATTAATATCTTCAACAAGCACACCTCCTTAGCCCCAAGTTTACATGTGGTTCCTTTTGGACCAAAATGTAACTTTTTCAACTACTTCTGCTCTACTTTTTGCTCCTAATTCTCAACATAAATTTGGCTAAAAGCAGCCAGCAGTACCCATGCCATGGTCTTAATGTTGGACTGCTGTGAAATTTCCTCTGTTATATCAATCACTCCATAGCCCATAAACACCCTCCTGCAAAACCTCAGGTCACGAGGAAAATGAAGATAAGTGCATCTGCCAGACAATAGCAAGCATGGCTTCCAGTGAAATTTCCAGTAGAGTCCCCATCTGAAACTTCACGTACCTGGTGTATATGTTTGCATTTTTATTAGCTTTCTGGTATTCTGTGTTCTGACCAGAACAATCCCATCAGGCTCTGATCATAGTCTGCTAGGGCTTTCTGTCCTATATCTCCAGACCTTTTCAATACCTCCTGCAAACCAGTTCCAAAGATTTCTGAAGTACGTGGTGTGGTATATCCCAGTAATAATACCAGTTTCACTACCAATTCTCTCTATTGGTCACATTTTCCAACGCTGAAAAAAATATTTAACAACTTAAAGGTGAGGAAATTTATTTGACCCACAGTTTCAGAGGACTTGGTCCATTTGTTGGCTGGCTCCAAGGCAGGAACGTCATGCAAGCAGGGCATGGTGAAACAAAGCTCATTAATTCGTGGCAGTCTGGAAGCAGAAAAAGAGAAACATCACCAGAGAGGAAGGGGCTAGGACCAGACATAGACCCCAAGGTCCTGCCTTCATGACCCACCCAGATACACTCAGACTTGTGCATTACTAATCTACACAGCTCCAAGCCAGTCAAGATGACAATAAGGATTAATAATCACAGTTACCTTCCCTGGAGACAAGTGGAGAGATTGGATTATCTGCATGCAATTAGGTACTAGATCCTGTAGGTATGCATTAGGAAAATTATCTGAGGTGAATTAGCTGTGAGAATTAATTTTAAATACCTGCCTCTATCCTCATCTCCTATTTCTTCTCCTATTTTCTCCATGTGCATCTTAGGTAGGTATGTACATAAACACTCCGATTTTTCTGAAGACTTTTGACTAAATGGGTTATGTAGCACTAAAAATTATGGAACCACTTACAGAAGTGAACATACTTGTGAGATAAAGTTAACATTAATATGTTCAATAAGTTGACTGGGTATCTTCAGTTATGTATGTAAAGGCATTGTGTACAATGCAATCAAGTCATAGATTATAAATATCCAGCTGGTAAAAATCCTTTTCCTGAGTTCATTTCTTTAGGTTCAATTCTACTTGAATATATAGGGAAATAAATGAAACTATTTCCATTTCATTGTAAAAATTAAACTACTATACATTTGCCTTTTTGTAGTAGCTGATAAAGTTTTTAGGAATGTCTGAATTTGAAATATAAAAAGATTATCCTTTTCTGTTTGAATACCACCTGAAATTCATTTATCTTACTGTGTTTGATTCTTGGGAACATTTATGTTCAAGTTTCTGTCAAAGCAATCTATTGTTCTTGTTTTTACTCTGATGGATCTTGGAAAAAAATAATGGATTCCGTTATGAGAAGCAGTAATAGATTTTTTTTTAACTGACATAAATTTCCCTCTCTATATAGAATAAAAGCATCAGGAAAAGATAAGTTGAATTTTCCTTCAAGGAGATAGCTCTTGTTAAATTTACTTCTCATAAATTGTAGCAGGGCACTTTTTATGTAATGTTTTATTTATGTAATTCAGTTATTTGGAGGTGGTGGTGAGGAATGTGAGTCCATCATTTTATGTGGCATTTCAAATCTCTTTGGGCAAAAACCTGAAGAATTTTTGCAATAGGAAAAAATTTAAAATTCCATTAAGCCTCCTTAATGAAGGTAAGGGAGGAAATAGGTTTGCATTATCTAAGATCAAGAGAGGCAGAGTTGACTCCTAGTAGTCATGGGCAGCCGAATATTTTGTCATCAAAAAATAAAGGCAGAATCAAGGTCAGCAGTAGTGTGTAAGCAGGGCTATGGAAGCTGGTAGCCTTAGGGGACACCAAGGAACACGCCCTGGGGAGATCCCAAGCTGGGCCCCTCACTAGCTCTCCTCACATTGCACACCAGTGTGGTGGTGTATGCATCGGTGAGCTAGCCATGAGTGACCCAAACTCTAGTGGCCTAAAGGAAATCACCGCCTTGGAAGGATGTGGTACACCCAGCTGGAATATCCTGGAGGGTGCAGGGCTCGGCTGCGGCTCCGTGGGGAGTCAAACGTGCCATGTGGGCAGTTGTGTAATGGTGCAGTTGGACATCGCATGCCTGGGCCACACACTGGGCTGCTGGCTGTGTCTGAGGAAATGTCTAGGCTCATTTTCAAAGCCATGTTGTGTGCATTGGAATGGCTATGATTCAAATACCTTATGGAAAGTGCATCTCCATGTTCTATCAGGAAGGTTGCTCTTAAAATACCTATAGGAGCTGGGCATCGTGGCACACGCCTGTAATCCCAGCGCTTGGGAGGCTGAGGCAGGAGAATTGCTGTGAGTTCGAGACCAGTCTGGGCTACATAGTGAGTTCCAGGTCAGTA